ACACAGACAAATAGATAGTTACCTTTTTCACAGACTACTTTGCACAGTCCTCATTCTGTTCGGGGCATTTTAAATCACTTAATTTGGCTTAATGCATTATAAGAGTGTTTTTCAAAGACCAAACTCAGAAAACACGCTATTAACAAATCATACTTATGTACAGACAAGCAGAGTCCAGGATAAGAACGCAGCGCGGGTTTAGCATTTTCCTCCCGTAGAAAACCGTTATAAGGAAAACGCTTACATGGCTTAATGCATTAAAACAGTGCTTGTCTGTAACGTTACATAGTATGATTTATTAATCATGTTCTCACTGAGTTTCGTCTTTTAAAAACAGGTTTAACCAGTTTTATACAGTCTATGGTTTTAATTCATTAAGCCACGTTAAGAGTTTTTCTTATAGCCTAACGGGTTTATATGGGAGGAAAATGCTTAACGAGTATTGTTAATTACAGGCCTAACGTTACAGCTAATCACAGTCTGTCGGATTCTGGAGTGTAGTAGAGTTTTGAATAAAATTATAAAGAATAAATAAATTAATAGATAAAATTACATTACAATATCACTCAACGGAAAATATGGATCCCAGACTTGGACGGTCTGTTAGTACAATTAACCGCACAACAAGATATTTTATTTGATAATTTTAAGAAATAATCACGAAAATAACCCATAGACTGAATAAAACAAAAGCAGAAACACGGCAGAGATGCCAAGTTCAGCAGCTGATAGAGACAGCAACATCAATCCACCTGTCACTCAAGTGGCTACGCCCTAATTATGCAGAATATTAAGGCTTAATATAATTTAAACGGATTACTTATAAAAAAATCACCCCCCTCACAGTTGTCATGAAGGGCAAAATTAGCTATATAGACCAAAATAATTTTTTGAACCAGGCTGCAAACATGTTTTTTTCTGCTTTAAAGTTGGGCATTTTAACATGGGGAGTCCATGGGACTGAGTCTCTTTTGCAGCCAGCCTCTAGCGGCCAGTCGATGAATTGCAGTTTAAGTCACTTCCGTGTTGGCTTCATGAGAGAGAGCGGGAGGTTGCCGCTCGGTTCAATTCCGTGACAGTAGAGCTAAAAAAATAAAAATGGCATCTGAAAGTTGCGTTTGGTGGTCAGTTTGTGTGTAAATGTATATTTCTGACTAACTTTTTGCACTTTTGATGATATTTCTAGCGATAAATCAGTATTATAGTAATTAAATATTCGTTTAGTTATAAGAAAAACTTGTTCTATTTTGTTGTAGATCATTAGACCGTTACGCTGTCTCAGAAGCCTGTCCGAAATCAGTTTTTATGAGGTGCCTTGCAAAGTCATTGCCTCATACGGCAGCGATGCAGCAAGTCAGCTGCTTAAGTTTTCGGATGCAGCCATAATGTGCAGTGCTGGTGGGAAACATCCTGGATGTTATAAACATTCCCTTTGGTAAAGAAGTTTTTAAGGCAATGATCAAAAATGAAATGATGAAGAAATGGCAGGTCAGGTGGGACAAGCATAATAGTGGAAGAAAATATTACAATGTACAGAAATTTGCACAGGATGTGATTAGAAGGAACAGAAGGGAGGAATTCATTTAATCCAAGTGATGGATTTGATTTGATTGTTCTTTTCAAAGCAATAGTCTACTTGCTATTAATTATTACTATTTATTGAGCTTACCGCCTCTTAAATAAAAACATTACAAAATTAAAAATAAATAAATATATAGTTCAGTCATGAAACTTTAGATGGCGCATTCTGACAGGGTGTTAACGTAACTGATGATATTCAGAGAGTTAAACGACTTGGCACAAGCTGATTGGTTCATGCTGCATATGCAGCCAATGAGCTTTCTGTCTTGCATTTATATGGCTGGCTATCATTCACTTGAGATTCCTGCAGCGCGCTTTCAGAGTTCTCTGAAACTCAACAGCTAGATAAGTAAATGGTTTTCACTCTTCTGTGCATTATTGCGTTCGTCAGATGTAAATTTTTAAACTAGAAAACGTACAAGTTGTAAAACTACATGCAGGTTATTCGCGTGAGGAGTAATTACTAAGCATGTATTGTTCATATAACAGCAGTGGCATTAGCAGCAGCAGCAAGCAGTTTTTCCTAGTTCATGTACGTGAGAATACAACATCAAGCGTTGCAGATTTTAGAACAGTAAAGTGGATTGGGGATTACCTTATTTGCCCGAAATCTCCAATGCTTTTAATATCTTCTGTGGGCAATCGTTGCTACATTAACCGCGTACAGATTGCTTTCAGATGCACGCCTCACTAGTGGGGTTGGTTTGCAGTTTCACAGTTTTAAGTCAAGGTGAACCCGTATAACTGTCTTTTATAAATGTCATACTGTCAACAGCCTTACATATTTTAATGAGCAACAGAAAATAAAATATCCCCTCATACATGTACTCGCGCCGCATTGCAGTGCACTTAGTCAGAAGAGGGAGCGCTCATTCTTAAAGGGATGAAATTTCACTCGTTACCTTGGTTCAGTGATAGTGAAGAGATTATTATAAAAGTCATGTTTAGTGATAGTTTAAAGATAATTAATAATGAATTTGTTTAAAATATAAAGATACTACTAATAATAAATAATTTCCAATCAGTAGCCCATGTACAATGTAGTTAATAGTAGGACACTCTTAAACTGGAATTTACTATTTGTGTATTCAGTTGGGCTTACAGCAATTATAGTACTTTCATGGAGTGCAGCAGCAGTATCATAGAATTCAGATCACGTTATTGATCTGATACAGATACACAAATTGTTAATTGCAGTATGCATAGGAAATCAAGTCAAATTATTACTGTTGTTTATAGCAGTGGCAGCAGGAAATATCTGGTTGTAACTTGCATGAAATTTCAGTGATAACACACGGGGTAAGTAACTCTTTTAAATTGAAATAGGCTTTTATAACTTTGTTTATTTACCAGGGTGTACAGGGATTTTGTGAACTTTTCAACGCGAAATAGGCATTATTTGTTTGAGTTTCATTGTTTAATAAAGACGCTTATAGTAATTCTAAGTACTTTCGTGCAACTGTAGCAGCAGTATGCATAGCTATTCAGATCGCAATTTTTAGCGAATTTAATAGCAGCAGACTGGCATAGCAAATTCAGATGCATGTTAGAAATAATATTAGCAGCAGTCTGCATAGCAACCAATTATTATTATTAATATAGCAAGGGCAGCAGAAAGTACTTTAGGTGCATGAAATTTCGGCGATAATGCATGGACGAGCTACAGCAATTCTAGTACTTTCACGGAGTGTAGCAGCAGTATCCATAGAATTTCAGATTGCGTTATTAGCGAATTATTAATAGCAGTATGCATAGCAAATCAAATTATGCATTTAGTGGCGGCAGCAGTAGGTAGACTGTAGTTTAAATTTACATTCTTATTTATTTATTTTGCAGACGCTTTTATCCAAAGCAATTTACAATTGCTGAAGTTTCAGTGACTTCAAATGGATGGTATGTGATCTCTTCAAGCGAATAGGCATCATTTGCATTTAATTTATTTAAAAAGGGTTTATAGCAATTCTAAGTACCTTTGTGCAGCTGTAGGAGCAGTATGCAAAATATTCAGGTCGCATTATTCAGGTAGCTAATTTAATAGCAGCAGCATGCATAGCAATTTCATATGCAATGTTAGAAATAGTATGAGCAGCAGGGAGTCAAATTACTGATGCTAATATAGCAGCGGCAGCAGAAAGTACTTTAGTTGCTTGAAATTTCAGTGATAACGCATGGGGTAAGTAACTCTTTAAAGTGAAATAGGCATTTTATTTATTTGCTTTTTTAACCCTTTGGGGTCGACTAACGCAGATACGTGTTTTGTGGCATCTTCTCCTGATAACACCGAAAATAACTTAAATTACACTTTCAGTTTTGATCTTACAGATAAGAGCAATACATCAATCGAATCTGTAAATGGTCTACTTTTATTTGTATACACACATAATAAAAACAAAACTTTATGCATTTATAAAATAAAGAAAACAAACAGGGTGCTCTGTCTGCCGCCTTGG